TTACTAAAAAGGGGAGAAGACTCTCTTATCCTGTTATGTGGGAGGTGTTTGATACTGAGGAAGTGGACAGGATCCTTGGGATGGTTAATCTGGCCACCTGTCAAATGGACCTTAGAAACCTGGATCTTTCCACAGGTGCTGGATTGGGAATATGTGCCTTATGGGAATTTTATTAAGGTGACGATTATTCTAGTCCCCAGGTATTGCCTTCTGTTTTATATTCTATTGGATTTGTTTTGAATTGGATGCTGCCCAGAATTGTTTTTAGTTAGTTGTGAGAAACAATCAAATTAATAAGAAATACAGTCTAATTAGTTTACTTTTGGTTCTGTTCATGGGATAAGTGGGCAGGTGCTCATATGGAGTGATAGTTATGAAAACAACAAGAAACAGAGATTCCACTAAATGAATGGATCTGTTTTGGGATTGGTGGCTTGAAAATAAAATTGCCAACATCATAATGCCTACACTGTAAATGCACTGTAAATCTACATTGCCACATAAATAATATACTCTGTTTATCTCCTACGCTGCACCTCAAAAAGAATATTTTACAGTTGGAAAAGACAAAGAAAAATGGGTATTGGGTAGCTCCTTTATGAAGAAAGACTGCATCCTTATGAGTTTTTTTTAAAAAACTTGGAAATAAGGTGGGTTATAAGTGGCATGAATATTGAAAAATAAGGTATGACATGACTATTGAAAATAAAAAACCCAAATTCTTCTCACACCAACTTAGAACTCAGGGTCATCACCTAAAACTAAATCCAAGGAAATGCAGACTCAAAATAAATAAAAAGAAGAATTTTTGTACATAGCACATTAAGCTATTGGATTGGGTGGCACCAAATGAAATGATGGACCTCCAACTTATCTAGGTTTCAAAAAGAGATTCAAAAGATGTAGGCTAACAATTGTAGTAGCTGTAGTACCTGTCCCCACACCTTCTGGCCACAATCAGACAACAGTCTACCACCATTCAAGCAAGCGTAAGAAAGATGTTCTCTTCAAATCCGCTGGATCAACACCAAGAGATTTGGTACTGACGGGAGGCACGCCCAGGGAGGTCTTGGATGGGACCAGCATGATAGCAGATTCCTGCACTTGAGCTTTCAGGGATTTTAGAAGAATACATGGATTTAATTTCACTCCATTTCACATTTTTCTGTAAAGCTCTGATTGGGTACTTTACTTTGATGAAGTCTCATCATACAAAACACCCTGCAGTGCTACTTTCAGAAGCAATGACCACACACACTGTACCTCTTCGAGCCCTAAAGTTGTAAATCCAAACAAGAACACCAGGGCAGAAGTAGATTACTTCTAAGTACAGGCCAAGAAATATATCTATCTAGGTGAGACAGTATGCTGTAGCATCAGTCATCTGAGTACAGCATGGTGGTCTGTAGTGAGGAATGTTCACATGTGAGGTTTTAGATGAGAGGACTTTTCACATGAGTTCAAACCCTGATAGTGCAGGGTTTAAGCTCTCATGGAAATTTCTGTGTCTACAGCTGAAGACAATTCTGGTTGCAGACTGAATGGTGTGGATTGGACCGAGATCTCAGCGCAGGAGATGTTAAACTCTTGTCTTTCAACATTTGTCCCATGCTTGACAATACCTATAAGTTTTGTTACATCATGAATCCTACCAAGGCCTATTGAGAAGTCACAAACATTGATTTCACACGAATCATCTGTTCTTCCTTTATCAGATGGCATTATAAACCCCTGCTCTTTATGAGGAACTGACCGTAGTTTCATGGTGGTTCTTCCTGGATTTCTATTTACGCATATGACCTTTCCCTACTGGCATCCAAGCACATTATAATCATTCGCTGTCAATCTCTTTTTTTCTGCCATGTCTCCATGACGTCTTCATCAAACAGCTCTTGAGTTGGCTGGGGGAACTACATGGTAAAGCAAGAGAGCTGGGTTTCCTGTTTGACTGTGCAGTTTCCCCAGCCAGTTCAACAACTGTTCAGCGGATTTGTTCTGAGTATAGTTTTAGTAATCTTTCAAAGCTTGTTCTGCTGGCAATCCCATTTACTGTGCATCTTGCCTAGCCTGACCAATCCCAGGGAAGTGAGGCTGATGGGTTTGGAAAGAACCTACTTTCTTCTTGATTTGCCAACCAATTCCCCCAGTTTCAGCAGGTACTCCCTTCAGCATTGACATACCCAGCAAAGCAGATCAGCCACCTTTCAAAACTTATCACTTCCCCCAAATGCATCTGTACATCACTGTCCTGATTGTGGATAATTTCCAAATGGTTGGTGATGTTCCAAAGGCAGTGGAGTGCATAGCAGCAAAATGAGATGGTTTAACCAAGCACAGGGCTGGTGCAACTTCCAAAAAATGTGCCAATTCAGAGATACGTATTCATGACTATTAGCATGGTGCATAAAGCACAAGACCAGCAGTCCCCAACCTTTTTGGCACCAGGGACCGGTTTCGTGGAAGAAAGTTTTTCCACAGACCGGTGGGGGGATGGTTTCGGGATGATTCAAGCACATTACATGATAGGGTTTTGATATGAGTCTGCAAGCAATTGATTTATTATGGTCTCTGTGCAGTCAAACCTCTCTGCTAATGATAATCTGTACTTGCAGCCGCTCCCCAGCGCTAGCATCACTGCCACCTCAGATCATCAGGCATTAGATTCTCATAAGGAGCACGCAACCTAGATCTCTCTCATGTGCAGTTCACAGTAGAGTTCGCGCTCCTATGAGAATCTAATGCCACCGCTGATCTGACAGGAGGCGGAGCTCAGGCAGTAATGCAAGCGATGGGGAGTGGCTGTAAATTCAGATGAAGCTTCACTCGCTTGCCCGCTGCTCACCTCCTGCTGTGCGGCCCAGTTCCTAACAGGCCACGGACCGGTACTGGTCCATGGCCTGGGGGTTGGGGACCTGTGATGGAATGGAATTACGAAGGTCGAGCTCAGAGAGACAAACATTTTCTTAGCTCGCCAGAACCGCGTGGGAGGATCAAGAGGATGAGACTGGCACCTCCCTGAGGAATTCACACTGTTGTGGCTGGAGAACTTTGGGAACTGGGGTTTGGGTCTGGGAAGACTGATGTCA